AAAATTATTCTGAGGACATTGAAAATGGATATTTTAATTCGTTCAGTCGTCTGTAAATATGATATTTTTCTATAAAAAGTAGAACTGAAATTAGAATCGGGGCTTAGATTACAACACATTGCATCATTTGCAAAAGTATAAAGGGGCAGCTTTCCAAGTGGATACTTGTCGACTTGGGTATAAATCATACGTACACGAGACTAATGTTTGCTTTATTTTTACTTCAATGTATTTATGTCTACCATTTTTTTATTGATTCATTTGTTTTTTAAGAGAGAAAGTGTTTCATTATACCAATTCTTGAAATGTTCTCCTCCAGATTCTTTTTTTAATACTAGATTGCATCCAGTTCAGGTTCGAGTGCCACTCAAGGTAGTGGATTACTGTTAAAATGATTATGGTGAAGAATGCGATATAATTAAGGGGGAAGGTACACTATTTACATTATTCGGACTATTGCTCTCATCTTTGTCGCCATATTTATTACAATGTTTCGGCCTTCTTCAGGTGGTTGGAATGTCGAACTAAACCCCTTATTTCTAGTTCCACGTGCCATGTCTAATGGATGTCGGTTATCAGTTATCTCCTGTTAATTCCCCTCTCAAAGTTCTCCACTGCCTTAACCAGGTATTGAACTCACACTGGATCTACTGCCTTTATCCACTGTGCCATGTGTCCTTAAGGACATCTGTATATTAATTTCTGGGTATTATAAACCTAATGTCTTCAGCAACTATATTTTACCAGTGCTCATATTGCAATTTTTGCTGTTATCATTTCACGTTTTTTTTACCAGAGCTCATATTGCAATTTTTGTTGTTATAATCGCTTTTTTCTGGCACTAGTCCGAATAATGTAAACAGTGTACATAATACCTCATCTCAAAAATATAGAAATATACAAAAGGGAAAGTGTTTAAAATTAAACATTATCGTCTTACGGATAGAAAACGATTGAGCCTTGACTTGAACAAGTTAACATTGTAGTGTTCAGGGAAGCATTCACTCGGGAGTCTGATCAACAAAGCAGCAGTTAAATGAAACATTCTTCTGTAGTTAGAATACGGGGTAAATTTGGTTGATTCGATATCGTGGAAGTAGCATGGAGGGTCCTAGCTACCCAATAATGTCTGAAGTGGTGGTACAAAAGAACGGGTCTCATATGAACATTTGCCGTGGAAATAGCGGTAGATTTGCGACGCTGCGTCTGGAGGAAAGCGGTTGCACGGCGGAGAAAAATTATTTCCCAAGAAGACCGCGCAAATTTTATTCAGTTGGATATTCTGAGAGTTCAAGATGAAATCGTCGTAATGTTCGCTTAATAAAGCTGCTAGGTCCGCAAATGCAGGCCTGTGCAATTAAAAAAACATGAAATTCCACAATGATACCGCTGGCTTCAAGGGGAGATTTCTAGAGTACATTATTGATGAGTATCTTCATCAATGATTTCCCTGATGTCACCAGTTCCCAAGTAGGCATCTATGCAGACGGCACTACTATTTAAACCTCTCTCAATAGTAAACCCGGCGGCGGTAACAAAGTTAACATGGCCGCTGCTCTCGAAAAGAACCTCTAATCAGTGATTGACTTGGCATGATTTGGTTTGGTTTGTTTTACGGCATATCAACCTCAATGGGTTATTTAATGCCGGCAAAATTGTTATTGCTGGTAATATTTTGTTTTGTCAAAAATCTATTTCTGGTCATAATTTTTTCCTTCAAAACTGTATTGCTGGTCATATTTTTTTCCAAAAATGTTTTCCTGGTAATATTTTTTTTCAAAAATTTATTGTTAGTAATTTTTTTTTTTTTCAAAAATGTGTTGCTGGTAATAGTTTTTTTCTTCAAAAATTTATTGCTGATAATAATTTTTTTACAAAGTATTTTTGGTATTAAAACCTATTTTTACACTTTCATAGTGTTTTGTCTCCAATTTCGGGGTTAACTATTTGCCCGTAGCTGGTAACCTAAAGTGCTACTACCCCGGGTCATGGTGGACCTGGGAACACCAGCCATTAAGAGGTGGTTCCACGCACCTCAAAACCTTCTGATCAGAGTCCTTGCTTCTGAACGTAGTTTATCGTCTTACCCAGGACGCGGATGTAGTTTATCGTCATACCCAGGACGCCCCATCGAGAGGGATCTTACCCCTCTGCAGAGGTGCAGTCGACGTATTGGTTAAATAAAGACAGGCTTCTACGAATCTGAGTTATTTGTATGCGAGCAGTCATCGAATTTAATTCTGATGAACACAATAAATTAAATACAGGGTGTCCATAAAGTTCGGGTGCACTTTAAAAAATTATAACTTTATTTGTATTTGCGATAGAAATAATCTGTGAAAAATTTTATAAAGATTAATGTACCTAGTTTTAAGTATATCTAAAATAACTAATATGGTTTCAAGCATTACTGTAAATCATTTAGCAAATGTTTTCCGTGAACTGCAAAATCGTATTACCCTTTTTATTGCTAATGATGGAGGACATATGGAAACTTAAATAAAATTTCAATAAAACGTTTAAAAAAGTATAGATTTACTTCTTTCTAATCCTTTTTACAAATTATTTCTATCACAGATACAAATAAAGATATAAATTTTTTAAAGTGCATACGAACTTTATGGACACCTGCATTTCGAGAACCACTCGCGGGCCACGCTGGGTAGGTTTTTTGGGCCTCAATTGACCTGCAGTCCGTATTTTATGTAAGCTAATGATACATGAACATAAACCTAATGGTAAATTAGTGCAAGCGTAGACAATCTCGCGGCTCGCAAACCACATGCGCCTCTATGATCTTTAATATGTGGTTCGTGGAAATATGTTGGCTGAGCAGCTTTTTTTCATCATAGTTAATACAAAAGGTGGATAAGAAAAATGTCAATCTGTAAATATTTACTGGGTATAAATTTACACTTTACTGGATTAAAACGTAAGTTTAATGTTCATAGTTAGTAAAAAAATATTTAAGAATTTAAATCCTAATTTTAATGCTAGATCTGAGTGACGCATTGTTCTTTAGTACTGAGGTAAAAATGGCAGAAGGCAGAGGTATTAAAAAAATTTCAGGTTAGTAAGAGTCACAGAGGTATGTCAGAAAACTGGGGCAAGGGGATTAAAGATTTGGGTACCCCAAGAAAGTTAGAGTTGTCACATGGTGATTTGCCAAGCTTAGATGCGGAAACAAAGTCGAAAATAGGAGTTAACCAGTAAGGATCGAACTCACTACTCACTCATAATTGTTCTAGCGAGACAAGCTTGCTAACCATTACACCACCTCGGGGCCTCCGGCTGAGAGTGTATAATTTTCCAAGCGTATCTTAGATATGGAACAAAGCCTTGCACCCAGTGATGTAACTGTTTCCTAATTATTACACCGCCTGAAATGTAAGGGGCACCCAGTGAGGATTGAACTCACTACTCAGCCGTAATTGTTCTAGCGAGAGAAGCTTGTTAACCATTACACCACCTCGAGGTGCCCATAGCAACCTAACTTCTGCTGCTACCTCTTTTCACACATATTTATGGTGATTTTCCAAGCATAGCTTAGATGTGGCACAAGGCCAAAAGAAGAAGGCACCCAGTGAGAATCGAACTGACTACTCTAGCGAGATAACCTTGTTAACCATTACATCACGTCGAAGTTCCCATAGCAACCTAACTTCTGCTGCTACCTCTTTTCACACATACTTATAGTGATTTTCCAAGCGTAGCTGAGATGTGGCACAAGGCCGACAGTAGGCGGCACCCAGTGAGGATCGAATTGACTACTCTAGCGATATAAACTTGTTAACCATTACATCACGTCGAAGTGTCCAAAGGAACCTAACTTCTGCCGCTACCCCATTTCACACATACTGATAATGATTTTCCAAGCGTAGCTTAGATGTGGCACAAGGCCAAAAGAAGAGAGCACCCAGTGAGGATCGAACTCACTAGTCAGTCGTAATTGTTCTACTGAAACATGCTTGCTAGGCATTACATCACGTCGATTTTTGTTCATCTCTTGAGGCTCCCAAACATCTGAACTTTATCGTATCTGCCACTAGCATGCAAGGGGGTTACAGGGTGTAGCATAATTAGAAACAGAAATGAGGAGAAAGAGAATAGGGCAATCAGGAGGACAGTAGATAGCGATTGATATTGCATTTAAATTTTGAAGATTAAACTTGGGTGAGAAGCATGGAGCCGGGAGGTAGTTCCACAAGGGAGAAGTATGAGAAAATAAACTGTTAGCATAGAATTTACAGCTACATCTACCCAGCGCAACTCTAAATTGATGAGATCTCGACGCCTGTCTAGTATTACGCTTAAATTCATACAGAAGAAATCATCCGAACAATTACCATGAAATTATTTATAAAAAAAAAAGAAAAGAAATAAATAAAAACGCACAGAGAGGTAACCTGACAGCGTTGGACAAGTGACTGAAGCCGAGTCACCAGATCAGGACCAATAATATTGCAGGTTTTTCTTTGGTTATTATCAAGGAGCTTCAGAAAAATAGGAAAGGCACGGGATCATATATGGCGGCAATATTCTAAGTATATATGAATCATATACTTATAGATAGCAAGATAGATTCCGGAGAGAAAAAAATGTGTGAAAATTATTAATTCAATTAGTTCTCTTTTGTTCCATCGATTATTTCAAACATTTTGTGAAATTACTGATTCCAAATACACAATTCTTTTGTACCAGTGCTTGCGGCCATATTACGTTGGAACACCGGTTCTTGTATGATCACCGATAAAACAAATGACATCGGTTCATTCTTCACTCGAGGAAAATGGTAGATTTATAGATATGCAAGATAGATTCCGGAGAGAAAAAAATCAGCGAAAATTGTTAATTCAATCAGATAATGTTCCCTGATGTTCCATCGATTATTTCAAACATTTTGTGAAACTATTGAATCCAAACACACAATTCTTCTGTTTTCACAAGAAGGAAAAAGATAGACATGTGTCCGGTAATCACAAGAATGTAAAAGGTATTGCTTACGGCCACATCACGTGGAAACACTGCTTCCCGTACGATAACCAAAGTTAAGCAACGTCGAATTTGATCAGTACCTAGATGGGTGACTGCCTGGGTTTAAAAGGTGCTGTAAGTTTAGATGTGTGGATAGTGCAATGGATAACATTTCGAAATTGTTAATCGGAGAGTCGTGTTCCAATTCCAGTTGGGTTCGTTATGTTCACTAACACGGAAATACCCTTGGGAAGAGGTATGAATCCAACCTTTTTCCCCCAGCTATGGGTTAATTAGTAAGACTTGTATCACTAAAATCATTATTATCTAAACAAAAAAAGAAGAAATCTTTACAATCTAAAAATATTTTCTGTCTTTAAATAACCTAAAAAGGGTTGATAAGCTGTAAAATACAATTATTTAATTTCTTTACTGTACAGAGTTAAGATGGCTGCCGCGTGTACGTGTCTTGCAAGCGCGTATTTGATCTTCGTGTTGATATAAAAAGTTTTTGTGAAGGCCAAAATCTTCACCTCTTTTCTGCGTTCGAATCTTCCTAATTTAAATAAGTGAAATAAACTGAATATTTTCCTTCAAGGAAGTAATACAAACCTTGTTATTGCCCACGAAAAGTTGGCCGCTTTCAAAACAAAATATTCTACTGTGGATGAGTAATATTAAGAAAGGAAATTTTGTTCGGTTTTCACCCCTGAAGGAAGTTGTTGGAACAGATCAGTATCTGCTCTCAGACGTTTCTACTGCAATACAGGTGCATCTTCAGCAGCTGTTCAATACTTTTGATGGGCATTTCTGTGCAGGTCATTTGGAGGACAACGACCATTGGATGAGGAACCCCTTTTTATTTCAGTTATCTGTCACACCAGATGACGACCCCTTGAAAGAGATGATTATGGACGCTCATCAAGATATAAGATGATGCCTTAAAAATAGCATTCGAAGCGAAGACATTGGAAAATCTAGCGTCACCTCAATTACCGTTATTTCTGAGCCGTTCTATGGAAACCTCTAACAATAACATATCTTTTTGAAATAGGTTTTTCCAATCTTCTTTATGTCAAAACCAAGTTTTGAAACCGGCTCAATGCCCAGCCAGAAACTCGCCAGTCCATCAGCAAAAAGGAAGCCCGCATTTCAAATATGCTGAAAAGCTCATAGGCTGACCAAGATTCTTTAGTGTAATGTGATCAAATGAGGTTTATTTTTCAACATAACCCTCCTTTATGGGCCACACATTCTGTCCATCGGTGTTGCAATCTTTCAGCCTTTTTGTAAAAAAAAAAATGTCAACAGCAGATATAACATCATCATCACTGTAATACTGGTTCCCAGCCAAATTATTTCATGTTGGGGAACAGATGATAGTCAGATGGGCCAAATTAGGAGAATAGGGAGTATGATCCGGCAGTTCAAATCCACAGTCGCGCACAGCAGAAACCAATGACTTGTGTGCACGAGTCTTTTCTTGATAAAACATGGCCTATTTCGTCTTGTGGATCTGGCCTTGATAGCATTTCGTAACTACCTCAGTAGGTTGACATAATAATCGCCATAAATACAACGCCTTTTGCTTCTCCAAACCTGAGACCATTACTTTCCCAGCAAATGAAACGACCTTGATTTTCTTTGGAGCAGGTGAGGGCGGTGTTTCCACTGTACAGATTGTCTCTTTGTCTCTGGCTCGAGCATCCTAGATTCGGAAACGTTAAAGGAAAGTAGCTGGATCTGTCTCAAATAACCCCGGATTTTCCCGTGGTTTGATCAGCCTGGTACGCTTTTGATCAAGTGTCAGAAGACGTGACACCCGACCAAGCAGAAAACTTCGTGACATAGAAAAAGCAGTTATTTATACAATAGACGATAATCTACTTTAAATCTAAACGAGCACATTTCTTGGAACCACAGGCTCTGACCTACGCAACTGGGACACTCCATGTTACGTACACAGAGATGAATAATCCTCATTCCCTTTGTATTCCATTAGCAAGGAGGATCCTGATTTCTCGAACAGTTTCCCGGCAGGTTGCTTCCCCAGTCACTAACCGTTCTGGGTATGACGATAAACTACATCCGTGTCCTGGGTAAGACGATAAACTGCATCTAGCAGCAAGGCCTCTGATCAGGAGGTTTCAAGGAGCGTGGAACCACCTCTTGGTTGCTGGTGTTCCCGGGTCCACCCTGAACCGTTGTGTTGGCACCTGTTGGAATCCCGGCTATGGGCAGGTTGTTAACCCCCGGGCTGGTGTAAAAACTGGTTTAATACCAGAAATACTTTGTAAAAAATATATTACCAGGAATAAATTTTTGAAGGAAAAAATATTGCAAGCAATACAAACAGCTATACATTTTTTGAAGAAAAATATTACCAGAAATAGAGTTTTGAAGAAAAATATTACCAGAAATAGAGTTTTGAAGAAAAATATTACCAGAAATAGAGTTTTGAAGAAAAATATTACCAGAAATAGAGTTTTGAAGAAAAATATTACCAGAAATAGAGTTTTGAAGAAAAATATTACCAGAAATAGAGTTTTGAAAAAACAAAAGATTACCAACAATAGAAATTTTGGTATCTGTCTTACCAGAAATAAAGTTTTGAAGAAAAATATTACCAGAAATAGAGTTTTGAAGAAAAATAAATTACCAGAAATGAAAGAGTTTTGATGATGACAATAGTCCGAATAAAATATTATCTCAGAAATAGAGATTTTGAAAGAAAAATATTGGCGACTAAGATGATGAAATAGAATTTTGAAGAAAAATATTATCCAGAAATAGAGATTTTGAAGTTGTAAAAATATTACCAGGACAATAGAGTTTTGAAGAAAAATATTACCAGAAATGAAAGAAAGTTTTGAAGAAAAATGAGGACAATTCCGAATAATGTAAATAGTGTACATAATACCTCACCAGAAATAGAGATACTTTGTAATAAATAAGGAAAATAGTCTTAATACCTCATCTCAGAAATATAGACAGAAATAGAGTTTTGACAATAAAAATGTAAATAGTGTAAAATAATTATCCAAAATATAAACAGATTGAAAGGGAATCTGTCTAAATATTTCAAAAGATCATATTAATTAAATAGTTCGACATTCAAAAACCTGAAAGAAGCCCGTTGTAATAAATATGGCGACATGAGGACAATAGTCCGAAAACGTAAATAGTGTACATAATAATCATCTCAGAAATATAGAAATACTGAAAGGCCGGAAACGTTGTAATAAATATGGCGACAAAGATGAGGACAATAGTCCGAATAATGTAAATAATGTACGTAATACCTCATCTCAGAAATATAGACAGATACTGAAAGGCCGAAACGTTGTAATAAATATGGCGACAAAGATGAGGACAATAGTCCGAATAATGTAAATAGTGTACATAATAATCATCTCAGAAATATAAACAGATACTGAAAGGCCGAAACGTTGTAATAAATATGGCGACAAAGATGAGGACAATAGTCCGAATAATGTAAATAATGTACATCTCAGAAAATACCTCATCTTGAAATAAATATGGTGACAAAGATACTGAATCTCGGAAATATAGACAGATACTGAAAGGCCGAAACGTTGTAATAAATATGGCGACAAAGATGAGGACAATAGTCCGAATAATGTAAATAGTGTACATAATACCTCATCTCAGAAATATAGACAGATACTGAAAGGCCGAAACGTTGTAATAAATATGGCGACAAAGATGAGGACAAAGTCCGAATAATGTATAGTGTACATAAACCTCATCTCAGAAATATAGACAGATACTGAAACGTTGTAATAAAATGGTGACAAAATGATCCGAATAATGTTAATAGTGTACATAATACCTCATCTCAGAAATATAGACAGATACTGAAAGGATGAGGAAACGTTGTAATAAATATGGTGACAAAGATGAGGACAATAGTCGAATAATGTAAATAGTGTACATAATACCTCATCTCAGAAATATAGACAGATACTGAAAGGCCGAAACGTTGTAATAAATATGGCGACAAAGAGGAGGACAATAGTCCGAATAATGTAAATAGTGTACATAATACCTCATCTCAGAAATATAGACAGATACTGAAAGGCCGAAACGTTGTAATAAATATGGCGACAAAGATGAGGACAATAGTCCGAATAATGTAAATAGTGTACATAATAATCATCTCAGAAATATAAACAGATACTGAAAGGCCGAAACGTTGTAATAAATATGGCGACAAAGATGAGGACAATAGTCCAAATAATGTAAATAGTGTACATAATACCTCATCTCAGAAGTATAGACAGATACTGAAAGGCCGAAACGTTGTAATAAATATGGCGACAAAGATGAGGACAATAGTCCGAATAATGTAAATAGTGTACATAATAATCATCTCAGAAATATAGACAGATACTGAAAGGCCGAAACTTTCCGAATAATAAATATGGAAATATGACAAAGATGTAATAAATATGGGACAATGAGGACAATAGTCGAATAATGTAAATAGTGTACATAATACCTCATCTCAGAAATATAGACAGATACTGAAAGGCCGAAACGTTGTAATAAATATGGTGACAAAGATGAGGACAATAGTCCGAATAATGTAAATAATGTACATAATACCTCATCTCAGAAATATAGACAGATGAAACGTTGAAAGGCGACAAAGAAACGTTGTAATACCTCATCTCAGAAAATAAATATGGCGTTGTAATAAATATGGTGACAAAGATGAGGACAATAGTCCGAATAATGTAAATAATGTACATAATACCTCATCTCAGAAATATAGACAGATACTGAAAGGCCGAAACGTTGTAATAAATATGGTGACAAAGATGAGGAGGACAATAGTCAAAGATGAGGAATAATGTAAATAGTGTACATAATACCTCATCTCAGAAATATAGACAGATACTGAAAGGCCGAAACGTTGTAATAAATATGGCGACAAAGATGAGGGACAATAGTCCGAATAATGTAAAATACCTCATGGTATAGACAAACTGAAAGGGCCGAAACGTTGTAATAAATATGGCGACAAAGATGAGGACAATAGTCCGAATAATGTAAATAGTGTACATAATACCTCATCTCAGAAATATAGACAGATACTGACAAAAAGACAATAGT